GGTCCCATTGTTTTCTCCTCCAGATTGTTCATCCAGTCTATCTTATTTAGACAGACCTGCGGAGATAATAACATGCACAAAAACAAGACAGCAAAACCAAGCAACAAAATAAAGCAAAACAACAATAAGCGAATGACAAAAAACAAAACACAACAAGAAAAGCTTAGTTAGTTCAAGGACTGTTTGTTGGCCTTTAGTAGTGTTTTCCAGTTGAGTCTATTGGGGTGCCATGCCCTGGCCCCCAAAGTCTTATTTTTGGTATTCCCTGGGGACTTCGTTGCTCCGTTCCTCTGTTCCACGCCCTTGTGTTTTGCCTCCGTGTGGTGGGATCAGATCGGGCGCAATTCACACACTGTGTCACCAGTGTTGTCCCCTGTAGGGCTATGGGTCAGTGAGGGATGTTGTGTCTCATAGGGGGGCTGGCCATGTGGTCTTCTTTGTGGATTGGCTGCTCTGAGCGGGAACATCATCCTCAAGGCTTGGTGGGCCAGGATGTGCTCTACTCTCTCTCTCTTCCCCTTCATTTGCTCCCGTGTGCTCTGATCAGACATGTCCCTCTCCCCGAGCTGAAGATTCAGTGCTGTCCTCTGAAATAACTTCTTCTGAGGGGGAGGGGCAGGTGTCCACGTAGTTGGGATTGGGGCTGGCCTCTCAGACCTCTATTTAAAAAAAAAAAATCATTTTATTAGGGGCTCATACAGCTCATCACAATCCATACAATTTGTATGGTTTTAATGTGCATTTTTTAGGATTGTTAAGTGGAGAACATTAAGTCTATCCTTAAGTAAATCTTTGATCTTGTAATTAAGTAATTTCATAACTGGTTTATTCTGTTGACTAATCCATACAGAACAATTTTAGTTTACATTGTTTGGGGGAAGGGTTGTTTATTGCTCTTATACAAATTCAAAAGCAGGTTGAATTTGAACAGCAACGAGGATTTGGGGTGTTTTCTGTCTCAGGAGCTAGTGGACTGCATGAGCTGAGACTCAGCCTTTCATTTGGAATTACTCATCAGTTTTATAGATCCTAATATTCTCTCCCATAACTGGTATACAGGAAATTGGAAGTTTGCCAGCCTTATGCCTGATATTCCTGATTGTGAATCCCTCTCAGCTCCATGTCTCCAACCATCCAGAATACTCTCCTTCTGCTCGCTCGTCTCCTTGCCTTTAGACTCTTTCCCTCCAGTCCATCAAACTGTATTTAGAGGTATGATTTGATTTGT